CTCCCCCTCTATCACGCACACGCACACGCAGCACCGAGCAGGATGTCGGCCGAATCACCTCGGCCGAGCTTGTTATCTGGGAGGATCTCCCGTATGGCTCGAACCGCGTCCTTGGGAAGGTCTCGCTGCCGGTCCTGAGCACTGCCTCCGGCAACATCGCCACCGGGGGGCACATGAGCTATCCCTTCCATCTGGCCAATCCCTTCCCCCTGGCATCGGCCCTGCCAGCCCTGGATCAGCAGAAGAACGAGCTGCTGGACTGCTGGGTGCCCATTCACCCGGCCTCCACCGAGGGGACGGTGTCCGGCTTCCTGGAGTTCGAGATCGCCTCGACCAACAACTCCGTCTTCCTGACCATCAGCCGCGGCGTGAATCTGGTCAGCCGCGATGTCAATGGCCTCAGCGACCCGTATGTGGTTATGACCCTGCTCCGGGGGAATTACACCACCGCCGCCGGGGATGCCGCCGCGAGCGCCGGGGCCCCGGTGCAAACCTTCCGCACCAAGACCATCCGCAAGACCCTCAACCCCCAGTTCAATGAGACTTTCCGCTTGTGCGTTGTCTTTGCCCCCCTTGGGCCTTTCCCTCGCCGCCCTTCATGGGCACCATCCCCTGTGGCTCGCTTCTCCACGAGAACTCCCACACCCCCTGCGATGCTCTGACACTCCCCCATTGGCGGCTTTCTCCCCTGCCCACGTCCCTGCACCATGGCTGCAGCGAGTCCATCGAAGATCTGTCCACGGCCGTCATCCATGTGTCTGTCTGGGACTGGGATCGCTTTACCGATGACGACTTCATGGGCCACGCTGCCCTGCCCCTTTATAAGTACCTCAGCCCCGGGGGCCAGCTCAGCGGGCGACACAAGATCTGGCTCGAGCCGAAGCCCGGTACATGCCCCCCTCAAGCCTCTTTTACTTCTTTGCATGCTGGTGGCCAGGGCCATGGCCGGTCTGGCGAACGACCTGCCCCGACCACCCTCCTCTCCTTCGAGCCTGGGACTGACATGTCCAACCCCTGCCCCCCCCCCCCCCCCCAAACAGCCGAAATTCGGGACACATCCGAGAGCAAGCAGACCGGCGACAAGCCCGCCACCTTTGCGCTGGATTATGAGCGTTTCCTTTGCCAGTCTCTCAAGAAGGGCCTTCGTGCGTGTTGGTGCCCCCCTCCTCCTTCCCCCCCGCGTTCACCTTCCCGATTGGTCAACTTTGTACTGACATGTGCATCCCCCCCCCCCCCTCCCCTCTCCCTTCCGCGATCTTGCACGCAGTGGCGGATGCGGAAACCCCCCAAACTGGCTCCGTGCGCTTCCGCTACAAGTTCCTTGTACGTGCATGGTCTGCTCTGCCCTCCTTTTGTTTCCCATCTCGCCCTTTCCATTTTCTTACACACACATACACACACACACACACACCTACCCCAACGCTTCCCCCCCTCCTGCTCTCCCCCCCCACACCCCCTTTTTGCTTCACAGGAGGAGATCATCCTCGGGCGCGAGAAGTATGACACCTTCTTGGAGCTCTTGCAGCGCGACAACTACGCCATCCCCTCACTGTTGAACCAGTCTCTGGGGAAGGAGCGCGAGGTTGCCGCCTGGTCCCTGATGAAAATCACCTCTGCCCTGTCCGAGGATGACGCCTTTGCCTTCCTCCAGGCTATTTGCCAGCGCGAGATCGATGCCACCCGTGCGTCCGCCACATGCGCCTCCCTTTTGCCGTTCCCCGCCGAGGCCGGGGGCAAGATTTCCCGAAGTGGATGGACTGACCGTCAGCTATCGTATCTTGTTCCTCCTTTCTCCCGCTCTTTCTTCCGTGCCTCCACCCCTCAGTCTCCTCTTCAACCATTTTCCGCGGCAACTCCCTGGCGTCCAAGGCGGTCGATGTCTTCCAAAAGCTGGTGGCACTGGAATACCTGCACCGGACTTTTGGCCCGACGATCATGAAGATTGCCGCCTACAAGAAGTCCTGCGAAATCGACCCACTGCGTCTGGAGAAGGGCCAGGACATCAAGAAGCACAAGAAGCGCCTGGTCAAGTTCACCGACGAGATCCTAGATGCCCTGTTCCAGAGCGTGTCTGAGGTGCCCATGTGCGTATATCACAGCCGCTCCTTTTGCTCCTTCCTTCTTCTTTCTCTCTCTCTCTCTCTCTTTCTCTCTCTCTCTTTCTCTCTCTCTCTTTCTCTCTCTCTCTCTCTCTCTCTCTCTCTCTTCTCCTGTCTTTTCTCCTTCCCTCCCTCTCCAGATGCTGTCCCGGGGCTTCTTTGGACCCGCGCTCCCTATCCCCTTTCTGACAACAATGCCATGGGGTCCGCCCCCCTCCCCCGTTCCTGTTTCTCCTGCCTCTCTCTCTCTCTCTCAAATGTAGGTCCCTCCGCCGGGTCCTGCAGCACATCCGCACCACTTGCGCCGAGAAGTTCCCTTCCGAGGCCTCGACCGCCGGGCTGACCGCGGTGGCCGGGTTCTTCTTCCTGCGCTTGGTCGTGGCATCCATCCTGAGCCCGCACCTCTTTGGCTTCCTGTCGGATTGCCCGTCCATGACCAACAAGCAGGCCGCCCGGGCATTCACCCTCATTGCCAAGACCGTGCAGAACTTGGCCAACCTCGTGGAGTTCGGGGCCAAGGAGCCTCACATGCAGGACCTCAACCAGGACATCATCATCCCGCGTATGAGCGAGATGCGCACCTTCCTGCTCACGATCTCGGTGCGTCTGCCATCAATGTTGCCTGATGTTTGGCCATTTGTTGTTGTTTTTTTTGGGCCCCTTCCAGCCGTGATGACCCGTGTGTTGCTGGTCTCCGCCCCCCCCCCCCCCCCCCCCCCCCCCCCCCCCCCCCCCCCCCCCCCCCCCCCCCCCCCCCCCCGGGGGGCCCGAACACACACACATGTTCAGCCCCACCCCCGCGGCAACCTTCGCCCGTTGGCATCATAGGGGGTATTTGTTTTTCCCCCCATCCACCTGGGCAGGCCGGCATAGAGGGCCGGGAGCCGGGCCCCCCCCTCCCGCCGCTGCCGCCCCGAATGCTAACCCGGAGCTCCCAGACTGCTACATCGACGGATGTCGCCGCCAGCGGGCCCCCCGCGGCGTCTGCCCCCCCGCCGCTGCTTAAGCAGAAGTCCAAGAAGAGCGTGAGCAACACCTCATCCCTGGCCTTTTCGTTGTCGGCCATGTCGCTGGTCAGCAACAACGACAAGGTACACGCCTGACTTCCGTGCCCTCTCTTGCCATATTAGCCCCGCGCGCGTACATGCGCGCCTGCTGCTTGCCATGTCCTGGCCACTGACGGACTTTTCATCCGCCCGCTTGCCAGGCCGCCAAGAGCATCGATATTCCGCGCGAATGCTCGGTCCTCCATCAGATTGTTCAAAAATACCTTCCTGACGTGAAGCGGCTGGCCCCCTCAATGGGCGTGTCCGAGTCACTGGTCGCTGAGTTTGAGCAGAACGTCCTCAGCCTCCGGACCGAGACCGACTCGATCTCCCTGGCTGCGGTGACCACACCGACGCTATGATGCTCGTGCATGTGTGTATTGGTAGGAGTGTGCAGCCCCTGTCCCCTGGTCCAGTTATAGGCGAGCCATTGCAGAGTAGCAACCGGCGCGCACACACTTGCGCCCCTTCCTCCTTCCCCTTCCCTCCGCACTCACCCGTCATGGCGACATGGAGGTGGAGGGAGGAGATGAATACACACCGACACCCCCCCCCCCCCCCCCAGTCTTATCGACGTGAATGCATTCTGCCTTCTTCTCTTCGCCTTCCTTTTCTTTTCCTGCCGCCTGCTCCTGGGATGCCCCCTCCCCCCTACACTTTCGACATGGGGTGTGGTTGCGGGCAGCGAGACGCCGGCACAGGTGCGTCTCTTATTGGCTTCCCAGGTCGGCGAATGTTTGCCCCAGGGCGGCGGCCACGCCGGCTGGCGTCGGGCTGGTGGCCGTTGAGGAAACCCGGAAGCCACGCTCTCGGAGCTCCCGCGTGGTGGTGCTACCGATGGAGCCCAATTGCAGGGCCTGGCCCGGGTCATTGGCCGAGGCAAATGGCCGGATGATTGGGTCGGCGAAGAGCACACCTGAGGGGCTGAAAAACACCAGCCACAGGCGGCCACCGGGGCCCGATGCGAGACGCTCATGCAGGAGCTGGCCCAGGGCCTGGCCGCCCTGCTCATCGAAGGTGGTCTCATAGGACCGGACCTCCGTCAGGGAAATGACAACCTGCTGCCCCCTGGAGCCGGTGACCGGGAGCCGTGCCAGCTTGGTGGCCAACTCCTCGCGGCGGATGGATGAGCAGGGGAAAAGAGCTGCGCGCGTGGCAAAGGACGAGAGGAGCCGTAGAAGACCGGGAGGGGGGGGGGAGGGGGCGGCGGAGGGGGAGCAGAGAGCAGCAGAAATACAACCGAAAGAGGCAGGGGGGGACACAGGCAACGCGAGGCGCGCAGGGAGACACAGGGAAAGAAGGGCCGGGTGAGTGGGAAAGGCGCAGGATGCAGAATGCGGCGCCATCGGCAGCAGGGAGCAGGGGAAGCGTACCGGTCCATTCCCCCGGCGCATCGGCCAGCTGCTCGACATACGAAATAACCACGCGGGCCAGCTGCCCGCCGGTGGTGGAGTCCTCGCCGAGGACTTGCAGTGGTGGCAGGGCTCCCCCGGGCAGCGGGTCCTGGAGGTCCCGGCGCGCGGCGGCCCCGGTGGCCGGGCCGACCGCAAAGATCGGCAGCCGAGCCACCCGGCCCAGGAGGCTGGTCATCTCTTCCGGGGACAGACGGGCCCGCAGCCGATCCAAAGCCTGCTTCACGGCTGTCACGCTATGGATGGATGTCAAAATGATGGCCGAGGGCCCCGGGCCCTTGCCCGCCAAGGAAAGAATGGACTCGGAGAGCTGCAGCAAGGGGAGAGTGTCAGCACACAGCCACAGGCAAGCAGGGGGGGGGGGGGAGGGGGGAGGAGGCGCACGCCCGGGCGAAGGGGAGCCCCGGGCAAACTAGGGAACACACCCGGTCAATGGCCTCATCCAAGTACCGGTACCGCAGAAGTGGGATGCACCGGTGCTCGGCAACGGCCAGCGGCCCGGCGCCCAGCGCGGCCAAATACCCCTGGGACTCGTCCGGGTGCCGGAGGAAGACCACCGTGTCGGTCATCGCGGTGAGAGGGCAGGCGAAAGGTGCGAGGATATGTCAAGGGGAAGGGGGGACGAGGAAGCCACATTGCTGGGATTCCGAAGGGGACCGCCCCGGGGCGGCCAATAAACCCCCGCTGGCGTGGCGATCGGCCAGACAACCTGGCCGGGG